TAAAAATGTGCATAAGGATTTATGGCGACAAGTATGAAGTGGGTGTAACTCTTTATAGACAAACTCATTTGTTAATTACAATTAAATAAATCCTTATTCGTATAGTCCCTAATAGGACAAGTTGTCCCTTCCCAAAATTTTGTTAAAACAGCTACGTGTTATAAGGCGATCGAAGGACATTTGAACATACGCGCTAAAGATCTATAACATTGCTTTGCCGACCTACATATTTAGTAATAAATAATCTTCCTAATAATGAGGAAAGCTTAAATCCAACCAATCTTACTTGCCAGCGGCTTTGTAACTGCGATACGAAGGTACGAAGAATTACGATACCACTTTAGTATGTAAAAAATACCTATTAATAAAACATTAATAAATTACGTTATGGAAGAAGACGTTCAACGTCACTTCGTAAATCAGACCGTAAAGTAAAAGGAAACGCGAGTAAAAACTCGCCACGTTTGCCCATCGGGGTGTTAAATGGACCAGCCGTAAATCGACCGCTTGGCGCTTGTGTTTTTTGGATTGCCATAAAATTATGTAACATCGCTATGATCTGACTGATAAAGACATAGACTGGATTCGATCAAGATGCCCCAACAGTGTAACTGTTGGGGCAACTTGCAAGGCAAAATGATCGAGGGGATGACCTCGTATACGAATAATACTCCCGCCGGATAACACTACACCCACAGTTAGTGCAACAACAAACACACTAGTTCGCCCTCGCCTCCGAGCACGGCGAGACCAACACAACGCGTACACAAGGTACACCCGCGTTCCGGGGCGATTCTCACCGCTCCCAGCCACCGAATCGCTAAATGCAGTCGACGGCCATCGGGGATTCGGTCCGAACCGCGACCTCGATGGCCCTTAGATGACACACCATACTTAAACGCATGCATGAGCACATGCGTGGCCCTACCCACAGCGGAGGGCCCAAACCCGTGAGTTCTGGCTAGCCCACCGGTTCTGCGTCAGATGAAGCTTTAATAGTCTCGGGACTGAAAGCAAAAACATCAGTTAATACAAGATACAAGACACGAATAATACGCAAGGTTTCGGTATTATGGACTCGTTCGAAAGTATCCGGGTGGCAGGAAAGAACAAACGTGGTAGTTAGGCAGGCAGACTTTCATTTATTGTTATAGAAAAAAGGAAGAAAAGTAAACGAAGTAAAAGAAATCAGTTAAATACAGATGTCAGATAGTCTCTTCATTTGCAACAATATGAATCGTCCGCAACGTAATGGCAAAATATGTGACAAAGTGATGATTCTTTTATATATAGCTTTGGATAATACCAAGGCTATAACATGTATTTATCTTTTTGGTAAAAATTAAACGTAAAAGAATTAAAAGAAAAAAAAACTATTTAAAAACAAGCCTTTATTGTTAATGAAAATAACTAAAAATTTAAAATAATAATTTCAACCTGATAAGAAAAATATCATTATATAGTTATCTACATTGCAACATTTAACGATAATTAACCATATAAGTCTACTCTTTTCGTCTACAATAATCCCATATCGTAAGTAGGTACTTATTAGACATTTTTATTAAACCCTAAAACTTTACACCTTGTATTAATTCTTTGCGTTTTTATCACATATCCAATAATAATAAATAATAATAATAATAAAATATCTTTATTCACATAGACGCTTGCGCGTTCTTATGAAACGTCAAAATTTTACAAGAAATGAACACGTTCGTAAGTTACCATCGGTTCGGAAAGCAGTTTCTGTTGAGAAGAAACCGGCAGGAAACTCAACAGTTGCTCTTTTTTAATATATTAATTAAATAAGAGCGTGTTACATTTTGTACCTACGTTATTGTAGTAAATACCGATGTAGCCAGTACGAGGCTGACACTCGAGAACCTTTCTTCCCCAACGGTTATCGGTTCTACGAGCTATATGGCCGGCCCATCGTCACTTCAGCTTACTAAACTTCTGAGCTCTGTCGGTTACCTTCCGACATAGCTCATATACTTTATACTAGTTATTTTAACATAACCCACCTATTTAGAAAAAAATGCAGAACCAGAAGACGCAAGCTCGAATCCCAATTATCAATCAATCAATTTAAAGTTTCATCTTGAGTGCAAAGACTAGCACTACTAAAAGAAAAATTAATCGTAAATTGATGGTATTCAGTTACCCATTCGATGACTCCGTGGCGCCGTTGCCAAGGTATTGGCTTCGGCGTCGGGGGTCGTGGGTTCGATTCCCACACGGGACAACTATTTATGCGACCCACAGATAGTTGTTTCGCATCTGGGTGTTTGTCCTCGTGCAATTTATGTTTGTAAAACGTCCTTACAACACAAGATAATGTTATCCTAAAGTGAGGGCAATGTTATAAATAAAAAAAAAAACCCAAATATATTTCTCTGTCAAACGCAGTGACCACGATTTGTCGCCGTATACAGACGAAAGTGAATCAAATATAGCATGGGCAGGTGTTGGCCTACACTCACAGTGAATGCAAATATTGTGAAACGGCACCTAAACAAATTGCAACACCTGGTCGTGAACTTGCATGGAATGTTAAAGTAGACACACCGGTACGAACAGTGTGTATGAATATCGGATTAAATATGTTCCAATTCTAAGCTTATTGATTTCTTGATTTCACGCGAATATTATAGATTATGAAATTAAACTAATTTATTAATGATTGACGCTTAGCCCAAGTAAACTGTGACATTGACTCACTGTTTCTGAAACACTGATCATCGTAGAAGTCAATTAACCAGCTGTCAAATAGATTTTCAAATGTTAATCAACTTGCCAAAAGGATTGTTAAACTGTTTGAATTGATCATTAATTTTCTGTTTCAGAAACCGGGCGTAAGACGTGAAACAACTCATTATGTCCCGTGAGCATGAACTCTGGAGGAATATAAAGTAAAAGTAGTAGGAAATTTAAAGATCAAATTCATCATCACCATCATCATTTCAGCCTGTTCTAAGCACTATTCTAAGCTTGTTTAGTTTTTATTACATACACATGCGTAAACACTAACGCTTGTCACATGCGTAAAAGCATTACATAATAGTCCCTTTCACGACTTTTCGATTTCCCTATCATACATTTACAATTCAAGCACGTCGATTAAGGGTACTTTGTACTTTATATTTTTAAGTTTTTTTTTTCTCGGCCATTTTATTTTAACAATTCTATTATGAATCTTATAAATATATTGGTTACCAGGTGCTATTCACTGTGGAGGACCACATAATAAGAAAACCTTCATTATATATAAGAAACTAGCTGACCCGGCAATAGTTGTTTTGCCATATAAATTATTTTTAGGGTAGAAAAAATGTTTGGGGTGGACCACCCTTAACATTTAGGGGGATGAAAAATAGATGTTGTCCGATTCTCTACCCTGGCCAATATGCACACAAAATTTCACGAAAATCAGTCGAGCCGTTTCGGAGGAGTTCAATTACAAACACCGTGACACGACAATTTTATATATTAGATATAAAACTAAAATATTTCTACACATCTGTAGTTTGCCGATCCGCAGTAAGGCAGCATGAAAAACTCTATAGTTTTAGTTATTCTGTAGTTATGATACCGTTATCTTTGCAGGGAAAATGTTGACAGTTACCTCGGGGGCATCTTAGTCGTTATACAAACATTTTCACAGTTAAACCATAAGTTTGAGTGACAAAATTAATTATTAAGCTGTCTTAAACATGTTCCGAAGTAGCAAATGTTAAATCGCAATTCGATCGCGAACAATTGAATATGTAAACTTCAATCGTGCTGCTCTCTAGTTGCTAAAAGTTGCGACGGCGGAGTCTCAAACTTGTTAGCACCTATTTCTGATGAGCTCGCTTGAAAAGGAAATTTGTTTTAAACTCTCCTTTCGAATGCACCCGACGCGAAATGGTCACAACACAACAACACAAGTGCTCATTTCTGCCGCCACGTCAAATCGTCGGCTAAAAATCGTGCTGGACGTAAAAAACGTAAGGATGACTGTGTCCGTGACTCATTAAATGGATGTATTATTAGTACCTACTTCAGGTAATATAATGCACATGCATATATGACGAGACTTATTTATGCCAAAAAATTTTTGTTTTGAAAATAGCTGGATGTTGAATGCTACTAGTATTTTATATATGATAGTGTTTTATTATTATTTGTTGCCTCCTTCTTTAGAGATATTTCTGATTTTCACGCTTTTATTTCAGATAACGGATAATGGTAAATTACAGCCAGTGTGAGTTGAAGGTTAAAAACCAAAAGCTTTGCTAGCAGAGCCGCAGAGATTATGATATTAGATCATAGATATTCATTAAAATTACAGCGCCTTAGTAATCTACGGGGATGTAATTACGATGAACTTGTCGTTCATTTCTCATCTCGTAGTCCCGTTCGCCTTTGTATTCCATTTAAGTCATGTCGTTACACGGCTAATCGGCTTCAGACGGTAGTGGAAGTGGGCCTTAACATCGTCGCGTAAAGCAACTAAACAAACATGATAAGAAGTAAACAATTCAATAACCCTATGATGCAACTGCCATTATCATGGATGCATTGTAGCGACGTCCACCCATAGATGCGCTAGATCCAGCAAACATTTGTTTTAACCGGAAGTGTCTAGCTTGATTGGTCGTCCGCGCACCTGGACCAATACCAAGAGACCCCGCGGACCTCGAAAGTTTGTGGTGACGTGTTGAAATAAACGTTCTGCGGGGGTCGACACTGGCTGGTAGGCGTACGCCCGCACTTGGCCCCTTTCGCACAAACGAGGTAAAGTAGGGTCATGCAATCAAGATCGCAGCCATTCTGTTCCATTGTGCGTACGATGAACTCTAGTGCTACGAGTTAATTGTTAAGCTCATTCCGACTTATACAGTTATCAAAGAGATTCCGTACAACACCGCCGTTTTCGGAATGTCCAGCAGTATGCCGTACCTGGGAATAAACAAAACATAATGAAATGTAATACCTAAATCGCGAAATTAGTCATGAACGCAGACGCGTGGCCGAGAGGCTTCCAATATGGTGGGTGGTGCTTTGTGCTATAAACAACGGCCGAGAAAGGATTTTGGGATTCGTTCTTTACATACATTTGTTATACGTAAATTTACATATTCCAAAAATCGGAAGGGCAAACGGCCAGACAGACTAACGATCTACCAAAGCGATGCATGATCAAAAATGATAAAGTTCAAACGTTCGGTTTGATGAACAAGAGTGTTGTAAAATACTTTGTATTGTTGATAGATACATAAGGCATTATACCAAATGCACCGGATGGTTGTTTCAAAACGTTTTGTTCTGAAATTCGCACGAATAGAACGGCGGACCTCATAACGACGTTAAAACTAATCTTGTAAGTCACTATGGAAATATGTATAGGCTGTTAGTAACAGTCTGTAACAGCCTATACATATTTCCTATTGCTGAGCAAAGGCCTCCTGTTGGCGGACTCAACATATATTAGTAATAGGTATGTTATATATTACTAATATATGTTGAGTTGAGTATTATTAATATATATTACTAAGATATGTTGTTCTATAAAATGTTAGTATCACTTTTTGACGGCGAATCGCTAAAATAGAGATTAGTTGTAAAGCTTTGGCGCCGAGCGTCGTGGGTTCGATTCCAATACAGTATAAATATTCGTGTGAGCCATAGATAATTGTTCCGGTCTTTGTTCCAAAGGAGGGAAAACGACGAAATTGCCGATCGTCAAAATCATAGCCAATGCCATTAACTACATGATTCAAATGTTGTGACGCCATGTAGATGGGATAAGGCCAGGAGAAGGCAAATAATCAAATAAACAAGTCAAACTCATAGTTACATTCATCAGGAGAAACTGTTACAAAGTAACAGTTATAACACTTCATGGTTCACATACGCCGTTAATTAACTCAAAGTCTTGGTGGTATTGAGAATAATAACAATTCCACCTTAAAGTATTAAAGTTAACTTTTGTTTTAATTATGCCTTATGCGGTTAAATTAACAATTATGATGTAGGAAATTACGAAATTATCATTGTAACCATCACAATTTTAATAGCAGACATTGAAATGTCCTATAGACGTTTATCAATTTTTAAAGCTCTGTTTGTAGTTTATAAAAGCGTGCATTTATGTCAGTCGGTCGTGCATCGTGTGTGATGTGATACAGGCGATGACTTCAAAAGTAAAAAAAAATAATTAGTACTCTTCGTAGCTGCAATGGTTTAAATTTTTTCCCAGGCTAATTAGGATCAAATTGTCTTAAAAAACAAAATAGGTATATGTATTATTTGCGTTAAATCAATATTGATTGGGTATATGTGTATACTCCTTTCATAAAATAACAACTACTAACGATAGTTAAGCAACAGCAGCTAATTCATGCTAGGCTAGCTAGCTGGAAAGAGCCTTTCGAATGACCGGCATAAAGTGAAAGCACTTTTGCGATTCGACCGGTGGGTGAGTTAAAAGGCAACTCACTCTCATTTTGCAACGCCTGCTACACTCGTGACGTTGCGAGAATCAATGGGTGGCTATCGGTGGTAGTGTTACGACTAGGCGAACAACTCTCTCAGTCATCACCGTTATACAGCGTGTCGTTACCATCGCGACAATAAATGAACACACATATAGGGGATAACTTTTTTAAGTTGTATTAAACATTTAAATTCTTTAAACATCAATATTTACCGAGTTATAAAATTTTCCAAAACAAAGAATTTTAGAACACCCTCACCTATAAAAGCGTAACGTAAAGTTCATTTGTAGAGGTCACAAAGCATATGAATGGGTTGAATGAATTTCAAAGAGACAAAATATACTGTTAGAAGGAGAGGCTTGTAATACGACGCTGTGGCGCGAGTTGTATAGGATGTTAAAAATTTTGTGTCTTTTTTACTTAATTAGATTGTTTGAAAAATATTTTTTTTAATTATGGATTTTGTTTAACTTTAATATTTTTTTATGATTATTGGCATGTAGCGTTAGACGTGTGTTCATTTATTATCGCGATGGTAACGACACGCTGTATAAATAAAAAGACGCGAAAGCTTAAAACTATAATATCTGTTGTAATGTCGATGAACGCGTGCAAGCGTTGAAAAACTACATCCTTAGAAGTACCTATTTGAACTTGACACTGGACCGCATGATAAGTCTGGAAGCTACGAACGTCGAGGTGGCGGACGGAAAGATATCCTTCGTATATAGATTTAGCCCTTTTCCGTCTAATACGTCTAAATTGGAGGTGTTATGCTAATGAGGCTGGTTTTAATGCAGTGGCTTCCATGGGCGCCTTGAGCCATATTTGAGGTTTAATGGCCCTAGGAACAACTATTAGCATGCGTTACGTCATAATATTTAAATAAACATTGTATATTCCATTTGGATGAGGTACATTAAACTGAGGCTTGAAGCTAAAAGCGAAATGGGGATCTTAGTGAATATAACTCGATGATTTCAAAAAAATCTTGAACAATGGATTTCATGATATATTCTTTCATATTTGAGTATTATAATCAGTTCGATACTGACCAAATATTACAAAACGTTAAGTAAAATAATCTTGTTTTTAGTAAATATTTTAAAAAGGTCTTAATTAAATCTTAATGCGATAAAAGCCGTAAAAAGACCGTTCGATTCATCTAAGAAGTGAATAACCGCGTACAAATAAATACGACATTCGAGACGAATATCTTTCTGTTCAACATGAAACAAAGAAAATAAAAACGCATTAGCGTCATTCCGCTAACCCGAAGCAGAAGGCGTGCACTAACAGGCCGGTTGTGAGCGGAGCAAGTATTGTTGTGGACAAATTCGGTATAGCTGCTCTAATTGTGGTAACGGATAACTAGAGGCAATCAATCGTCTTTTAATCTTAAAGGAACAGACAGTCAAAACAGATACTATAATCTGTGGAGCTGATTGAGTCTCATAGCGTAACCAGATGGTAAGCTAAGTGAATAAGGAATCACAACATTTATTTAAATGTGAAAAGTTGTCAAGCGGGCAGGCGCTTTATCCGATGTTAAATGATTACCGCCGACATGGACATTTACAACACCAGAAGGCATTCTGACGTGTGGGCCTTGGTTACCTCACTCACCAAACGAAACGCGAAATTTTAAAACTTCCACTTCATGCCGGTCTTGGCACTTGGCTGCACGAGTCTACCCATTTTTGCAACAGCAGCTGTTGCGTGGCCCTACCACAATAAGTTTGATTTTATTATGTGTAGTAATTATTAATATCAATTACACATTGTGTAAACAAAGATAGTTACTTACATCTTACGTACTGTTGTTAATTATTATTTAAGAAATAATTCAGATATACACTGCACAAAGTCCAGTTCATTCTTATGAGTAACAAACTTTTCGGTTGGCTAGTTAATATCAAATCCTTTAGAAAATATACTTTTCTATTACGAACTGCCGACCCTACAGAGAATATTACATTGCAATTGAGAAATAACTGCATTGTCAAAGGTTCTTTACACGTGTATGAAACTATTTCGCCTTCTTCGTCGTATGGGATCGAACTGAAAAACCCACAATTGACTAGTAACTTTGAACACTGTTAGGATACAGAAAATTACAGATTACATATTACAAATTTATAGAAGACTAGCTGTTTACCGCGGCTTCGTCCGCGCGGCCAAAGGAAATTAACCATGAGTTTTTAATATACACCAGAATATCTCGCAGATGGCTCAATTTTTTCCTACTTAGTTGACACTTATCACTACCTATATTTTGAACAATTCACACAATATCTTCATAAATTATAGCCTATGTGTTATTCTGATGTATAAGCTACATCATTGTAAAGTTCATTAAAACCTATTCAGTAGTTTTTGCGTGAAAGAGTAACAAGCATCCATCCATTCATACAAACTTTCACCTTTATAATATTAGTACCTACTCATATAGCGTCATAAATTGACAGGAGTACTCCCCAGCACTCGGCATAACCGAGAGAATTGGAGCGTACTTTGCATAGAGCTCGTGGACTAATTCAGCAGAAACATTAAAGGAGGCTTATTATCCGTGCTTAGAAAAAATAAGATGCAGATAACAGTTACAGATTTAAAAGCCATTCTTTTGTCATATAAATTTACGTGTATTGTGAGAGATGTATACGTTGCGATATTCTGTTTCTGTACCTTCCTGTCGCACAAATATTGAGAAACATCACCCCCTCTGTTGAAAATGATCATCGTATATTTTTTATGGGATTCAAGTTATGTTTCATACTTCCTTAGCATCTGCTAAAATACGCAGATAAGACAATTTTGTATGTAATTTTCACTTGAGTATTTATTGTTATTTAAATATATTCCCTCCTTTTTTGTGTAATGTCTATATTAGAACTTTGAATTAGTTATTTGAACTTTAAATTATTTATAATTTGCATGACGTGTTCACTATCATCGAATGTGCGTATATTTGTATCTGTATATATTTCTTTGGCTTAAAAATTTATCAAAAGTATCATTTTTTGTTAACCATTCAAATAAAACACATTTGTTTCGTTTGACGTACATATGGTACTCGAACGCTAAAGTGTGGGCGTTATCATGGTTATCAGTGAAGTAATAATCATATCTTGATCTAGGTACATCCAATATAACCATTTTTCTAGTTCAAGCACGGTATAATTATGGATGGTAGCTGGATCGGAGGAATACCCATCAATACGCTAATTACTTGTGACAAAAAAGACATGTTTAATGAAAAGGTATGTGAAAACAATAATATTAGTGAACTTCAAAATACTTATGTTTAAAGATAAATCTAATCCAGGATGCAATAAAAGGAAATGCATCCGCAAAAATATGTAACTTGTTCGAGGTACAAGACCGAAAAAGCAAATTTTTAGGGTTCCGTAGCCAAAGGGTAAAACGGGACTATTATTAAGAATCTGTCTTTCTATCCGTCCGTCCGTCGGTCCGTCCGTCTGTCACAAGGCTGTATCTCAGGAACCATAATAATTAAACAGTTGAAATTTTCATAGATGATGTATTTTTGTTGCCGCTATAACAAAAGATACTAAAAAACAGAATAAAAAAATATTAAAGTGGTTTCCCATACAACAGGCGTGATTTTTGCCGTTTTTATAGATAATGGTACGAAACCCTTCGTGCGCGAGTCCGACTCGCACTTGACTGGCTTTTTTAAACTTTTTGTTAATTTACTGTAAAACAGTTAAGTAAAATTATTATCCATTTTCTTACTTGGTTTGTATTGATGTTATGATTGATGTGACTATATTTCAATCGTTGAAGTAAAAAAAAAAACCAATGATACTGCAAGATCTTTAATAACTACGTGACAGCAAACGACGATTGTATTCGAAAGAAGCCAATCATTATTATCAATAGAGACCGATACTTAGTTTTGTTCTCTCATAATGCGTACAAAGCCAGAGACATGGGTTTTTAGAACGGTGTACAGTTCAGTTAAAAACACTTGTGTAACATTATCAAATTAAACTCGATCACGTAAACCGTCTACGCGTACCGGTACATTGCATATGCGGAATATCAATTGCCGTCATAAAACACGATTTCAACGCGGAGCCGTCGTCACTGACACCGAAGCTGTTTTATTTAAAGGACTAACGGTGTCAGCATTAATCCGGCACTTATGGCTTACGTATTAACATTGTAGCCGTGGTGATTTCATTCCAATTGTAAAGCACGGTTTACGTTGGTGTATGTCCGTCATTCGCCCCGTAGCTTGAGGGCGGAATCGTACCGAAGAGTATCATGGCGGACTATTTAACGCATCGTCTGCTGAACTCACGGGAGGAGTTTTTTTTAATTTATTTATTTCAGAAAGTGCGGTACGTCTGTTATTTTTTAATTTATTTATGTATACACCAAAATCATAAAAAGTGCAATTACAAATGAATTTAAGAGGGAGTACAATAGGCGGTTTTATCGCTCAGAAAGCAATTTCTTGCAGACAACCATTGCGAAAAAAATTTTTGCTAAAGAGACAAAGAAGAGAGCAGAGGGAGGTGTACATGAATCGCTGTTAGTAAGTGATATCCGCTACCCGTGGACATTTGCCACACCCGTGTTATAGAGGCGTGGCCTTTTAATAAGTTTAGTGTGCCCCGTTTACCTCAATCATCAGACGAAACGCAGAAGTATAACACTTCCACTTCACGCCAGTCTTCTGTGAGGCCGTGGTACTTTTCCGGACCAGCATGTCTATTCGTGCAGACAGCTGCGTGGCCGTACCACAGCAAGCAGTGGCGGATTTGCCCTAAGGCCCAATATGCTCGTGCCTAGGGCGGCCACATATTAGGAGTAGCCAATCGTGACAAAAAAATCACTGAAACGGCGGCTGGAACTTACTACAAATCGGGCAACAACTTGGGCAAATCGTTCACTCACACCAAGATTAAGTTTCCAAGGGCTCGACAGTCTCTACCTAACGAATCCGTGTAGTGACCTAAAAATGAAGGGACCCTCTGCTACGAAATGAGTTTAACTTAATACTAAATGTTAATATTGGGCAATTTTCACCGTTTTAAATCAAAGTAATTCATTTTGTATAAGTTTGTGTATGTTGTAACTTAATTTCAGTATTTTTTACGTAATTCGCTTACTTTGAATCTGAACGTTACTAATTTTATTACGGTAATAGTATTTTAGAAAGATATTTGAATTTCAATACACAGTTATTCCAAACTTTTTACTATATCGTGTACTTACAAGCAAGCTTTTTTATATAAAAAGTTGCCAAACGAGCCGGCGGTTCACCTGATGTTAATTAAATACCGCCATGGACATCTGCTCCACCCGAGGGTTGCAGATGCGTTGACAAGCTTTTGAAGATTGGGCTCCGGCTACCTCACTCACCAGATGAAACGCGAAAGTATTTGTTATACTTCAACTTTACGCCGGTCTTCTGTGAGGTCGTGGTACTTACCCGGACGAGCCTGCCCATTCGTGCAACAGCCGAGGCTGCTGCGTGGCCCTACCACAGTCAAAAGCTTTGATCAAAATTCTATATGTATACTCGTACATATGATTTGGTGTTTGCATACGTCCAGTCCACAGCAATGGACGTGTCTAACTGACGATTTCGCCGTTTAATGCACTTAAAGGCGACAACGAAGCAGACGGGAGTAGTTTAGTTTAGCGAGGCACGCGCCCGTGACAAGCTAAAGTGTACGAACCCATAGAGATAATAAACACGCAGGCGACAAATAAAAAGCTGGTTTTTCGACGCCCCAAAAGCGAAAACACACTGTGTCGCTAGTCACTCTTTGTTTCCTTTGAAAACGGCGCGACATGAAAAAAAAAACGAAGCGGATCCCAGCGCTGTGTTTTCGACATTACTCTTGTGACAAAAATATACTTGTTTCTCCTTTTCGGCGTGTACAAGCTTTTAGACGATTCGTCAACGTGTGGCCCTTTACACGGTTAGAATGTTTGCCTGTTTGGTTATTAGGAAGCACAGCAACATTAGATTTTGGTAATACGGACGTTTTTTTTGTTAGAAGGTGGGAAAACAAGTTGGCGGTTCTCGTGTCCAGTGCGGCAATGGGCGGTGGTTATGCCCATCGACATTTGCAACACCCGTAGGGTTGCAGTCCCATTCGTGCAACAGAGCAGACACTTGCGTGGTCCTACCACAGTTAAACGTCGGATGTTACCAAAGTTAAACAGTTGAACGTCGGCTGGTGAAAAAGTTTTCAAGTCTTCGTGTCACAACAATCTGAGAACAATCCGTTGTGAAAAATGAGCATATCCCACAAAGTATATTAAGTGTTGCGAACATAGGTGAAGATGTCTTAGTCACTGGATTTAAAATTGCAAAGCGATTCAACAAAGGCTGCAAAGTTAATTATGGTGACGTATTTTATAAAGAGGGCTTTTTATAATGGACCCTGTGCATACGGTGTATTAAACGAAATAAAATAAAAATGGGAGCGATTTCGCTTTTGGAAACGCTCGAACGTTCGAATCACAAAACCCACTCATCTCTGAAGCTTATTCACCGACCCGGGCAGCGCGACGTCATCACTCGGTGACCCTTAAAAGGCGCCTAGGGCATTCTGGAGATTCCTTAACCGTGCAGAGCAACGCCCTGCGTTTTCCCCCCCCTCTATACGACGCCGGGCCGCGCCACACATGCGGACGGACCGCGTCGTTAAAACGGACCCAAACAATGCCGCGCTCACATCTGGGAGCGGCGAGTACGGCGTGACGTCACCCCACGGCCCGCCGGCGACTCTGCACCAATGGAAACAGATAAAACGCGACGTTGGAGCCTAATGATATTATACAATTCACTCCACGCTCTTTTTTATAGAACACGCAGCGTGTCGTAGGGCTGGCGCTTTGTGCCGGCCGTGGGTTCAGCGGGAGAAAGAAACCGACTTCGAAAAAGGAGGGGTTCGTCAAGTTTTTATTTGTATAACAAATATCTCTAATATCTCTAATCCTCTGCGATATTTATGATCTGATTTTAAAAATTGTTCTTGTAATTGTTTCGGCCCAGCTCCCATGTGGTCTCATATTATTTTACTTGGTGTTGAACCTTAGACTCCGTAGGAACAACAGGGAAATCCTAATCAAATAGAAAATATATAGGGAGCCAAATATTTGAAGTTGGATTTGTTTTTTGTTAGTGAAAATGTACTCGATGCGTTTGTAACGCTACGCAACTTCTACCACGCACGGGACGGTGTCACGGATTGCTAGATGGAAAATTGCACCAATATTGCATTCTTAATAGACGAAACTGTTTATACGGATTAATCGAGTTTGGATCTAATTACATATAAATAGCTCTCCACAATTTGCTATCAACGAATTCTAATTTATTTTGGTCACATCGCCCGCAGGCAGCCGGGTAATTTTGAAAAAGTGGTGCACCAGTGCCACACCAGGAACCAATAGTACAAGCAGCTCATTTCTAAAATTCACATCAAAATAAGACCACGAAGAACCTTCTGTCGAATAGTACACCATTTCTACTTCCACTTTTTTTTCACGTTTTTTTACGTTCGGTAGCATTGCCGTACTTCTATCAATCAATCAATCAAATCGTTCTCTTTTTTCCGGGCGGCCATATTAGTAAGCTACACGTCGACGGTAAGTTTTTTGAAACTTTTTAAATCTTTGGTTTATATTAATGGCTGTAACTTAATTTCCAATTAAATGCGTAATTTGTTGCGTAAAGTAATAAAATTACGTCTTATTTCATCAGAAAATGATAATTTACATCAATTGTTGTCACTGATAAACTAATGGAACACGAATTCAATGATTTTCCAGTAATATTCTATTTGGTCTACAATTGGTGATTTAGCTTTTTGATAATTTGTTTACTTTTTCTTCTACATTTATATTTACTTAATACACTGCAAACAATTTATATAAAAAACTCTTAAAATATCCGCAATGTCCCTGTTGTAGACTAGTGGTTTATTACTGGTAAAATCTAATACGAGATTGTACCAGTAGTTGACCACCTAGTATTGGCGCAATGTGGCCGAAAAGAACGTTTTCAATTATAAGGAGGATGATATCTTAAAAGTGATAGACGAGATAAGCAAAGGCGTAAAAATTAGAGAAACGTGCAGAAAATAGAATATTCCACACACTACCGTCATAAATAAAATAAAATTGAAGTATCATATTCAAAGAAAAATGGGCAAAAAGGATTTCCAGACAGCAAAGAAATGGTAGTTATTATGAAAAACATTCAACCAATAATCTCTGCATTTCCATCAGCAATGGTGTGGCCCTCTAAATCTCCAGTTAAAGGGAACCAGAAAAGGCGTAAGAAAGCCGCCTACCTGATGCAGTACATAGCAGCGAATGGATGCAATATTAGAATGAGAAAGAAAAAATCGAAGAAGAACAAGAAAAAAAGCTCTTGATAATTATTTGAAATGAATCTTTTTAATTAACTAGTTATTAAATTATTTATGAGCCTTGTAGCATTTAAGTATTACTTGAAATTTGGAGACTGATAAAAAGTTGTGATGATTGTTACGTACAATCATCATCATTTCAGCCTGCTTGAGTCCACTGCTGAACATAGGCCTCCCCTATAGACTGCCACGAAGTACGATCACATTTGCACAGGTCGTCACTCCATCTAGTGGGAGGTCGACCCACTCTGCGATGGCCAGTACGAGGCTGCCACTCGAGAACCCCAACGGTTATCCGTATATGGCCGGCTCATCGCCACTTCAGCTTGCTAATCCTCTGAGCTATGTCGGTTACCTTGGTTCTTCTGCGTACAAACCTTGTTAGTATAAATTAATAATAATTTCGTTCAGTAAAAGCAAGTGTTTCATTTACTGGTTCACTATTGGCACACACTCCCAAACCCGTGGGTTCTGGCTAGCCCACCGGTTCTGCGTCAGATGAAGCTTTAATAGTCTCGGGACTGAAAGCAAAAACATCAGTTAATACAAGACTATTGACACAATGTCTGGTCTGTAGCTGGTAAAATCTGACCAACCTTAGGTACATTGCGACTTTCGACATTCAATTTCAAAGTAAAAGAAACCTAATAGCTGTTAAGAAAATCTGAATATACCACATGGTTCTATGATAGACTAGAAGTACGTTATTCTTTTTCTGCAATGGTGGTTGTAATAATTAAGGCACAGCATCAAAATTACTTTCAAAATGTCGCTTAATCGGTTTGTTACTGGTACACCCACCCTAAATAATAACTGACGGTAAACCCGAATCAACAATGACGTATAGAAGTCCTACGCCTCAGCCTGTCCCGTGAAGCACGTAACGCTGGGATTAAACATTAAAATTAAACGTGATATAACGAAAATATACTGTATATTTATAGAGTTCTCATTAATTACTCGTATAAGATGGTTTCCAGTTTAATAAATTTAGGCTTGCCACGAGTAAGCCGTTTATAATAACTAAAAAAAAGCATCCCTTTTGAATTTTCTATCGGGGTTTGATGATAGTTACGAAATTTATGTTTGCAAAGAGAACACGTTGCTGACAATAGCGCACGTCCGGTACCAGGGTGCCATAAACGAAGAGCGGTCGAAAGCGAAAGTATCGTACAACAGTTCTGGCGCCCGTCCATATAAGCTTGCAACGTCGCAATCCTCTTCCGTCCCGGTCTACTTAACTGTAAATAAGGTGCCAAGGACTTGGAACTACTGCTTATAAACTTATCGTACGTAATTCACAGTTCCTTCTCCTGTCCATATCTCACCTAGGTGGGGTCGGCACAACATGTGAGCAATGTTGTTGCCTGTCTGACGTTAACCCTCCTTGGGAACACCCAGGTCTGGAAAAATTATCTGTGGGTCCCACTTCTCCAGTGCGGGAATCGAACCCACGAACATAAGCGCCATGATCAATAGCATAGCAACTGCTATCACATCATCGTACTAAAATTCACAGCCTCAAATATCGACATCGCTTGAGAAAAGACCTCAACCTTGCGATAGGACAAATTCGCCTTATCTTGTTTTCCAAACCAAACTGTGAGATGCAATACATTTCTACGATAACGCAGCATATCTGTTTATTATCGACTCTCACGAAACTTTCCATCTGTCCCCGTTTAAGCCTCACGCCGATTTCACGGTCAAGGTGAAGATATAAATCTTGATTTGCTCTTGAGCATTTCTTAGTGCCTAGTTTTAGTAACTGACTAGAAATATGACGTCTAACTACTACGGTGCCGTGTTTATGTACACAAATTACGTTCAGCAAGAGCTGCGTTCATATTAATTATTAGCTCGAATAAATTTGTGATCTTTATAGAATATAATAATCCTCACCTCTATTTAATTTACAGCTGATCCAGAAATTACATTTGGTTTCATCTATCATAGCTACGCTGTATATTGGATAAAATATAGATATCATAGATACAAATTATATGATAGACATTGATTCTATTCCACAAGAGGAGTGCCAAACGCGACATCACAACTTGACGTAATAAGTTTAAAATTCTACAAAACTATGCGAGAAGAAACTAAGTTCTCGTTATTCGTATTTCAGTTGCATTTTAGCGCTTTAATCGTAATTAAGTGGTTGCTCTTCATGAACATTTGTTATTTATGATTATTATTGTTTGTAGTGCAATTATGCACTCAAGATGAAGCTTTAGGTGCGAGTTTAATAGACAAATTGTTGAAATATTTTCAGCGGCGAAATTTTCTCGTCAGAAAAACAAAGGTTTTTATTACAGACTACGAAAGGACCTACTATTAATTTATTAAAACAAATTTATAAATTTTATCTTATTTTTTTATAAGTTTAAGAATTATACTTATAATAAAGTCACAACGAAATAAAACAAAAAGAGCAAGAACAAAAAAGAGGCAAACTCCAATGCCAACTGCAATAACAAACCTTGCTGTATGAATTTTACGCAGTAATTAATTTAATTAAAAAGCTGTAAAAATATTTTTAATCCATCGCCCTGTTACTCCCTTTTGCGTCATGTTACCACTTACATTCTTGATAACGATTAATTGGCGAACAGAGTTGCAGAGTCAACAGAGTCGTTTTACTGCCATAACAGTATATCAAATTAAATTCTGAATTTTTTATATTACATACGTTATCGATAGCACACAATTTACTTTAACAGTGAAAAAAAATCATCATCGCATTTTTGTAAATGATACCAAATTGGGACTAACAATTTAACAAGGCGTGTCCATTGATGCTATTGTGTTTATTGTTATTGCTACTATATTAATAGAAACGTGACAAAAGCGTATTATGTTAATAGCATCATACATTTCTACTAATATAAAATAGTATACACTCCATTATATAGCAGAAAGCAGATTATTCGAATCATAAAGTAGGTAGGTTTTTTGTTTCTGTTTTCACTATCGGACGTTTTTTTTTTTCATTTGTTAGTTTATCTTAGAATGAGTCTTATAAAGTATATTTTGATATAGAAAACGAAAGCACGAAATACAAAAGAAGCATTGTTTTATCTGTGATATACTCTGAATTGATGGAGTGTATAATCCCCACGGTACTTCCTAAGAGTAATAAAACAGTTAATCAAAATTAACGTTTTTATTCAATTTCATATTTAATAAAAGCATATTTAACCCATATTTCATCTCTGTAAACTTTTTACTGTCCTAGGCTAAATCCATTTAAAGGAATTAACAAACTCGTGCAACTAAAATAGAAATTGACATTTATAAATTTTTTGTCAATGTCAAGTTCAATCCCCAGTACTGGAAAAATATTGGGTGATGAAGTTAGTGTTTTTCCAGTGTCTGGGTGTTTATGTA